GTATTTCTGTTGTGAGGAGCACAAAGCAATTTTCTGGAAAATTCGCTCTCTCTTTCAGGTTTGTGGAATTCTGGTGTTGGGATTGGTTGGTTTCGCTGCTCTGCCAGGCTTAAAGTGAGCCCTCCTAGAGCAGAGAGGAGGAATATGTCTCACTGCTGGTTGAGAGAAATGCCGGCTGAGTCCAACCCGTGGCTGAGAGACCAACCCATTACTGAAAGAGAGATGCCTGGCTGAGAGACGGAAGCAGTGGAACCAAGAGGCATGAGACAGGGCGGCAGACTTATCTGGCCCACAGAGGCAGAGGCCAGGCCAGAAGGCCAAGGGCCACAGAACCATGTCGAGGGGTATGGCAGAAGGGAGACTGTCCTGACCAAGCAACTGAATCCTAAGTGCATTCCTGAAATTGAGTTGTAGCCTGTTGCTTCCCTAATAAACCCCGTAATCTGTGAGTGGTGTCTGTCAGTTCTGTGTGGCCACTGCAACAAATTGTCGAGCCCAGCAGAGAGGTAGTGAGTGCCATGGGAGGGATGGTTGGTGTCAGGGTTGGTAAAAGGGCAGGAGGAAGGCAGCATGTCTGGCCTCACAGGAATAGGCCTTGGGCTGCTGATAGTGGGTCTGTCCTTCTCTTGTGGGGAGAGGAGGTCAGAAGATGCAGCTTCCTTGCCCCTTTGGCACAGGTCATCCACATATTGCAAGAACATCCCTGTCTTGAGGGTCAGATTCCTCAACTCTTTGGCCAGAGATGACCCTAACAAACTAGGAGAGTTTTTGAATCCATGTGGGAGAACTGCCCAGCAGAACTGTTGTTTCTGCCAAGTGTCGGGGTCTTCCCATTCAAAAGCAAAAATTTCTTGACTCTTAATTTCTAATGAGATGCAAAGAAATGCATCTTTTGGGTCTTGTACCATGAACCCTTCCAATGTTGGTGTAAGGGCTGACAGTAAAGTGTATGAGTCTAGGACAACTGTGTATGGGTTTGGTGTACAGTTACTGTTACCTGGTTGATGGCACAGAGATCTTGGACAAACCCATAACTTCCATCCTTTTTCTTCACTGGTAAAATTGGCACATTAAAGGCTGACTGGCAAGACCTGAGGAGACCAAAAACTATATATTTTGGATTAGGCTTTTTATTGCATTCTGAGTCCCCCTTTTTAGGAGATAATGTTTAATCCAAGGAGACTCAACTCCAGGTAGCAATTCTACAAAGACTGCCTGGGCTCTTTTTGCTTGAGCTGGAGTCCCTTGTGACCATACCTCAGGGTTGGTTTGTTCTTTCAATCATTGGGGAATACTGTGTGCCTCTAGATGTATAGAATGCCAGTCAGCAGGGGCTCCCACCAATCTGCACAGCAGAATATGGGCTTGCCAGCCTTTCATGTAGAAACACTAATGTGCATTTGTTCTTAATGAATGAAATTTCAGACTTTAGCTTGCACAAGAGATCCCTTCCTAGCAGTAGCAGTAGACATTCAGGAATATACCAAAAGGAATGGGTTAACACTTTCCTTGGGGTTGAACAAGACAAAGGTTGTGAAAAGGGTTTGTTTGTTTCCTTGTCAGAGACTCACACAACAGTGGTAGTCTTGGTTGACACAGGTCCTTCTTTTAAGTTAAAACTGAATGTGTGGCTCCTGTGTTAACAAGAAACCCTCCACATTTATTATAACCAGAGGTTCAGGTGGAAGACTTGCCTCCAGCCCCCTTCAGTCTGAGTCTTTGCTCCACTCTTGTTGTTGTTGTTTGCCATCGAGTCGGACCTAACTCATAGCAACCCCTCCTTGGGTTTCCAAGGCAGTATCACTATGGAAGTAGATTGCCCAACTTTCCTTCCGAGGAGTGGCCGGTGGATTTGAACCACCAGCCTTCTGGTTAGCAGTCAAGTGCCTTAGGAACTATGCTCCCAGAGCTCCACTCTTTAATCACTGGTTATTGTCCCTAGTGCTTCTCTTGTCCATTCCTATTTCTCAGACATTTAGTGCCCTGTTTCTTTATAATAAATGTGCTGATCCTTTCCTAGAACAACATTGGTGTTGGGGTCCAGGCCTGGACCTCTTGGTGGCCTTCTTTTTCTTTATCCTCCCATTTTAAATCCCTCTTTTTGGAGGACAGCAGCTAAAACCTGAGCCTGGGTGGCAGCAAAGAGCTGAACGTGCTGCTTTGTTCGCTTAGTTTCTCCCTGTTCTGGCGTTCTCTCCTTCTCTTTCTCCCTTCCATTGTAACTTTAAAGGCCATTTCTACCGGGAAGGATAGAGACAAGGTGCTGTCATCTTCTACCTCTTGCAGCTTTTTCTGGATATCAAATGCACCTTCCTCTATCAATACGGTATTAGTGCTTCTAACATTTTCTGGAGCCACTAGGTCCTAGTCTGCGTACTAAAGAAAGGCAGCATATAGTCTCTCTAAAAAGGTGGCAGGATCATCCTTCCACTTTTGTTTAATTTCATATACTTTGTTGGGATTAATTTACTTGGGCACCCTTTGTTTAAGTCCCACCAGCCAAGCAGTCTTGGTAGTGACCAATCGCCCTCACTGATTAACATTATTTGGGTACCTATTTGGATCATTAGCAGGGATCACATTAACAGCAGCTACATTTTCAGGTTGAGCTGCATGGCACTGTCTGTTTCTCCATGAGTCTAAAACCATACATCTCTCTTCAAGAGTCAGCAAAGTATCTGGCAAAGCAGCACAATCAACCCAATTCAGACTGTGAGTGTGGAAAATGGAAGAAAACAAATCATGCATCTTTTTAGGGTTTTCTTGGTGCTCTGGAATATTGTTTTCCCAGTTATAAAGATCACTAGTTCTAAATGGGAGACATACCCATACCATGCCTGCGTCTCTGGTCAGCATCTGCCTAAGTGGAAACTGTCCTCCCTGATGGCTCTGCTCAGATTCTGGACCAATAATTGGATCAAATTAGGGGTTTTGTAGCTTGCTCCACTACAAGTGTGTAGGGGAAAAACTAAAGGAGAGGCTAATGGCTGTCTAGTCCCATTTTCAGGGAAGTCTGCTAAAGGAGGGTACAGATGAGGACCATCCAAGAACTTCTGAGAGCCAGGTGGGGATGGTGGATAAGGGAGTGGTGGCTGCAGCAGACCTAGGGGGTCAAGGGCTTCTGCCAGTGGGGCTGGCTCGGGCTTGGGGTGGGATGAAGCTCCAGCATAGTCCAACAGATCTTGGGTGGGTTGTTATAAAACCTGAAGTTTCTTTATGTCCTTTCCTTCGGTCTCAGCACATAGTTTACACTTTTCTTGAGTTTCTTTATCTCTATACGATGTCATAAAACCTTCCACGTAATATTTTTCTTCCAATTTCCCTCTCTTAATCCCCATTTTCCTCTCATTTCCTCCCCTAACAACCCACTGTCATCGAGTCGGCCCTGACTCATAGCGACCCCTCTTTGGGTTTCCGAGGCAGTATCACTACAGAAATAGATTGCCCAACCTTCCTTCCGAGGAATGGTTGGTGGATTTGAACCACCAGCCTTCTGGTTAGCAGTCTAGTGCCCTAGGCAGCAAATCCAACTGTAGTGTGGTGTTATACCAGTAAGATCCACCAGGTGGCCACCTTTCATCAGCATATAATCTATACAGAGGCCACGCAGTGTTACAGAGAAAGATCAATTTCTTCTTTTTCATAGGATTATAACCAAACTTATCCCAATTACCAAGAATGCATTCCAATGTTGTACCCTTCTCAGAACTTCCAGAATTACCCAAAGCATAGACAAGTAACAATTACCTTATGCGTAAAAGAAAATCTCCCAGAAAAACCAAAATACCAACCAGCTTACTACTGCTGCCTCAATAGGGAAAATTCCTGGAACCTAGGACTTATTTAAGGATATTTAAAATTGTTACTCACCTAAATCAGAATGTGTTTCACCTCCTTGCAGGAGTCCCCATTAGGGCCGAGGTGGACTGGGCCCCGAGAACCCCTAAAAACCCCAAAGAGAAATGTCCCTTGGTGCACACTGCATCATTGACGTTCTCCCGGTCCAGTCCCCCTCAGGCACCAAGTGGGGCTTCTGGCTGGACGCCAGAAATGATACTGCAAAAGCTCTGAGTCACTCAGCAGGACTCTGTGTACAGCCAAATAACAGAGGGTGAGTCGAGGTAGGTGAAAGGCACTTTTATTTCTTTGGCCAAAAGAAAGGAACAGCCGGGGCTGATTGCCTTCCGACACTGCACATGCTGGACAGGCAGTGTGGGGTTTATAGTGCACTTGGAAACTAAAGGCACAGAAGTGATCAGTGCTCATGTGTGATTTGAGTAACTAGTGTCCTTGACAAAAGGGTGTGTGCACAGGCATGTGGCGGGGGGGGGGGTGGGAGTGGGAGAGAAGCTGATTCAATGGATGGACTCCTCGCTTCTCCTAAGAGTCTGGGAGCTTGTAAGGCAATCTTTTGGTTCCTCTTGAGGGAGACTTGCTTGTGCTGGTCTGAAAGTTCACTCGAGTATTTTTCTGGTTTCTCAGTATCAGCCTGAGACGTCATCTTGTTGCCAAAACACAGATCACTCGTGGACCCAGGTGCAGTTATCTGCATGGTATCGTTGAATGAGAGAAAGTTATATGTTAAAAACACTTCTCATTTCAAGTTACTTCCTTAGGATAGAGGCCTGCCAGTTGACTTATGGAATCAGTGGGGGAAAAATGTCAGAGCTCTTAATGTATAATATCAAATTGCCTCCCAGGAAGTTTGTACCCGTTTATGGTCCCATCAGCAGAGGATGAATGCCCCTCTCCACCAAATTCTCACCACCCTGCCATTTAAACGTCTTTGCTAATTTGCTAGGTGAAAAATGGTCTCCCATTATTGAAATTGGTATTTCATTGATTACTGATGAGGCTGAACAATTGTAGCTCAAATGTTCATTTGTTAGCCATTCATGCTATAGTTTGTTTGGAAATTATGTGTTCATAAACTTGCTCATTTTGATATTTAAATCTGATATTTAATTCAAACTACTTAATGTTTATTGGTTTGTTTTTAGGAAAACTGGAATAGCTTACATTAAAAAAGTATTGCAACTTAAGAGCCGTCTAGGATTTTTGTCTTCAGTTATTGCAGATATTATAGAACCTTTTGGAGTAGAATCCCTGAATGAGAGCTCTTGTTTGTCTAGTTCACTGTACATTACCATGACTGGAAATTACATCTATAGACTTATTTTACTAAGTAAGTATAATAATATTTCTTGGGGGGCTAAAAAATAATGAAAAATTATGCTTTAGGGAGAAAGTTCGTGCTCATTTATCAAGAGCAGTACATTTCGAATTTATAATCCAACTAGCAGTCAACATAAGTCTTGTGGTGGTTAAGTTTCTGTGTCAAGTTGGCTGGGCCTGGTTGAGTAGCTGGGCAGCTGACTGTAGTTATTCCACATGGTGTGAGTGGTAATTAACTCCCTGGAGGAATCTGTTGGAGCAGGTGAGCAGCTGCTTTGGGCATGTGGTCTGCTTCCTGTCCATGAGAAACAGCTTTGGGAAGGGTCTCTAGCTTATGGGGTGTTTGAACCCTGCGTGTACCTGTGTCGTTGTTCATCAGCTTGCCATGGTCTGCTGACTTTGGGACCTTTAATGAACTTGAATTAAGGGCCTGCCATGTGGTTTGGTAATAATGGGACTATGCCTTATTACTTGTCATCCTTGGGCTTGTCAGCCTCAGCAGCCAGCAGCTGAGTGAAGAAAAGCCTCCAGCTCCAGTGGGCCAGGAGCAGGAGGTAGAGCTAAAGCCCATGGCTGAGGGGCTTTCACCCAGCCCCCAGGGCCTGGCACTTCAAACTCAAACTTAAAGCCTCCAAAATGTAAGAGAATAAACACCTGTTTGTTAAAGCCATCCCATTTGTGGTATATTCCTGTCCGAGTGGCACTAGGGAACCAGAACAGATAATGGTACCGAGAGAGTGGGGTGCTGATCTGGCAGATACCTAAAATGTGGAAACAGGAGTGGAGTGCATTGTTGACCTGAGACCCTGGCAGAGAGACCCCAGCATCTGGCACGAGAGATGGCAAGAGCAGGGTCAAGAGACCGTCATGAAAGACGGCAGGAGCAGAGCCAAGAGAACCGGCATGAGACAGCGACAGCCTTACAGCCCACAGAGGAGAAAGCTGGATGCCTTTGGGTAGGCTGCTTCCTGGCAGAGTGGGTTGCCTTCAGGCAATTAGTTAATTAGTAGAAGAGACTGGTATAAAATGGAAGGACATGTTGGCTGGCCCATGGAGCAAGAAAGCTGAGTGCTTTTTGTGCAAGTGATTTCCAGCCTTCGGGCGTTAATTGGCAGAAATGAAAAGACCAAGGAAACGGAAGCAGAGCTGCCTCAGCCTGAAAAGGTAGGACCATGGCCTTTGAGGGTGGAACCACCACAGCCCCATAAGTTTCAAAGAGCCAGACCTTCACCAATTTGGTTCTGGAGTGCGGGGCTGCTCGTTCATGTGAGCTGGGGGATGGAGCCGTAGCCGCTGCCCAAGGGTGAGGGGGCGGGGCCGCCATGCCCAAGAGGGAGAGGAAGGGGGCCCGCCAGGCCAAGGGAGTAAGGCAGCCACTCAGGAACTAGGGGACTGGAGCCACCCAGTGAAGGAGATCTGTACAGCTGCCAAGTTCACAAGGGGTGGAATTGTGATGGTTAACTTTGTGTGTCAACTTGGCTGGGCCTGGTTGAGTGGCTGGACACCTGAATGTAGTTATTCCCCATGGTGAGACTGGTAATTAACTCCATGGTGGAATCTATTGGAGAAGCTGAGTAGCTGCTTTGGGTATGTAGTCTGCTTCCCGTATATAAGAAACAGCTTTGGGAATGGTCTCTAGCTTATGGCACATTTGAACCCTGCGTGTAGCCCTGTCGTTGTTCAGCAGCCTGCTGTGTTCTGCCGACCTTGGGACCTTTGATGGATTTGAACTTATTGCCTGCTGTGTGGTTTGGTAACATCAGGACTATGCTTTATTACTTACCTTGGGTGTGGCAGCCTCCACACCAGCAGCTGAGTGAAGAAAGGCCTCTAGCTTCAGGGGGCCGGGAGCTGGAGGCAGAGCTGAAGCCCAAGGTTGAGGGCCTTTCACCCAGCCCCTAGAGCCTGGCACTTTTAACTCAGACTTAAATCCTCCAAATTGTAAGAATAAACTCCTGTTTCTTAAGGCCATCCCATTTGTGGTATATTCCTGTCAGAGCAGCACTAGCTAACCAGAACAAGTCTTCATATACTTAGGTTCTTGGAGGAATTACTTGTTTCTAATACAGTGAAACCTAGCTATGATTTCACTGTTTCATCAGTCGTAGCCTATCATTTAGGAGCTCTGGTAGCATAGTGCCTAAGGCACTTGACTGCTAACCAGAAGGCTGGTGGTTCAAACCCACCAGCCACTCCTTGGAAGGAAGATTGGGCAATCTACTTCTGTAGTGATACTGCCTCAGAAATCCAAAGAGTGGTCGCTATAAGTCGGGTCCGACTCGACGGCACATAACAACAACAACACAACAGCCTATCATTTATCCCTATGAGATTATTTTTGTCTTTAACAGTGCTCAGGAGAACATAGAAAGCTCATGTGGATTTGGCTTGTCAAGAACCTAAATGCTTAATGAAACACCAAAAATTCGTGTAACAGAATATAATGTTAGTAGATACGGTTCAAATCAGGCAGCAAAAACCCAAATATCAAGAAGTTGTTCCAAAAAGGGGCCTGTGAAAGCGAGTTATATATGAGTGTTCAAGAAGAAAATCCCACACTCTGTTTGGAGTGAAAGAAAAAGTGTTATTGAAGAATAATACAACTTGAGCTAGTAAAAATACGAAGTAAAAATACAAAGCACTTAAGGAGAAAGAGTGTCTGTATACTTAGAAAACACAGGAAAGGTAGAGGGTTGGTGATTGATAAGATCAGCTTCAGCATGGAGTCCTTTGATAAGTAAAGGCTGACCACTTGACTAGGAGGGAGAGAGTTGCCACTTAAGTGAGTGGCACTGGCCTGTTTGGTTATACTCAATTGCAGTCATGAACACATTTTTCCCAGGAACAAATTGTTTACATCTTGGCACATTCTTCCCATGAGCAAACGGTTTGCGTCCTAACCTTTTGCTTCCTGGGGATGCATATTGACCCCATCACTCTTATGACTGCCATGAGCACCTCCAGTTTGAAATGTTTCCATTTATATAGGTCAGTGTTATGTTAATTTCACAAGAAATCACATCAAAGCACAAACAAGGTTTCAAGGTCTCTTGGTTACAGAACAAAATCACCATGTGTATCATACATCCTAAAACCCAACCTCTTGTCAGACCTTGGAGTTACTTCTTCTCCAAGCTAGCTGTGCAAAGAGAATTTTCCAAAAGAACCCAGTGAATAAAGCCAAACAGTCTCCACTCAGCTGCTTACTAAGTGTATTGTTTGACATAAAGGTAACTCCGGGAAACCAGTTCCTTCATAGTTTGGGGCAGGCCCTACATAATAAGATCACTTTGAATTTCAAAGGATTATATATGATAGCTATGTAACAAGAGGTAGTATATTTTATTGTAAGGATTTGGATTTTACTCTGAGAAAATGGAAAGCCTTTGAGGGATTTTGAGCAGAAAGTAACATCTGACTTAGGTTTTACTGCTGCATTGAGAATAGACTGTTGTTGTTGTTGTTATGTGCCGTGGAGAGAATAGACTAGGCAGGTGAAAAACAGAAGCAGAACAACCAGGAGTTTGTTGCAGTGATCAGGTGAGAAATCCGATTGAATTCAGGATGCCCAGTTGCTTATTGAACGCTGGAATAAGGTGGCATTGAGGAATACAAAAGAAGCTCTGGTGGCCTAGTGCCTAAGGCATGTAACTGCTAAGCAGAAGGTTGATGGAATCAACTAGATGCCAGTGAGTTTGTTTGTTTGTTGTTTTTAATTAAAGGCTCTCAGCAGTTCTACAGTAAAATAAATCTACCTTCTTACAATTGTCGTTAGGTGCCGTCAAGTTGATCCCAACTGATAGCAACCATGTGCACAACAGAGTGGAACACTGCCCAGTCCTGCACCAACCTCACAACCAATGCTGTGTTTGATCCCAGTGTTGCATGGTATCTGTCCTTCTTGCTGAGGGTCTTCCTCTTTTTCACTGATCTTCTCCTTTACTAAATATGATCCCCTTCTCCGAAGGCTGGTTCCTGACAACATGGCCGAAGTATGAGAGGCAAAGTCCCCCACCACCCTCACTTCCAAGGAACATTCTGACTGTTCTTTATCCAAGACAAACTTGTTTGTTCTTCTAGCAGTCCCTGGTTTATTCAATATTCTTCACCAATACCTTAATTCAAAGGAATCAATTCTTCCATTTTCCTTATTCATTACCAGCTTTGGTGTGCATATGAGGCAACTGAAAACACTATGGCTTAGGTCAGGCGTACCTTAGTCTTCCAAGTGACTCTGCTCTTTAACACTTCCAAGAAGTCTTCTGCAGCATATATGCCCAGTCATCTGATTTCTTGGCTGCTGCTTCCATGGCTGTTGATTGTGGATCCAAGTAAAAGGAAATCCTTGACAAATTCAATCTTTTCTCCATTTATCATGATGTTATTTATTGGTCCAATTGTGATGATTTTTGTTTTCTTTATGTTGAGGGATAATCTATACTGAAGGCTATAGTCTTTGATTTTCATCAGTAAATGCTTCAAGTCCTCTTCATTTTCAGCAAGCAAAGTTGTGTCATCTACATATCACAGGTTATTAAAGAGTCTTCCTCCAAGCCTCAGTTTCCCAGCTTTGCTCAGCATATAGGTTGAATAAGTATAGTGACACACTGATTTTAAACCACATAGTATCTGCTTTTCTATTGAAGTGACTACCTCTTAGTCTATGTACAGGTTGAGCAAAATTAAGTATTCTGGAATTCCCATATTTTGCAATGTTATCCATAGTTTGTTATGATCCACACAACCAAGTGCTTTTCCATAGTTAGTAAAACACAGGTTAGTGTTTTTCTGGTATTCTCTCCTTTCAGCCAAGATCCATCAGCAATGATATCCTTGTTCCATGTCCTCTTCTGAATCTGGCTGGAATTTCTGGAAGTTTCCTCTAGATAGACTGTTGCAACCATTTTTGAATTATTTTCAGCAAAAATTTACTTGCATGTGATATTAAAGATATTGTTTGATAATTTCAACATTCTGTTGGATTACCTTTCTTTGGGATGAGCACAAATATGGATCTCTTCCAGTCACTTGGCCAGGTACCTGTCTTCCCAATTTCATGGCATAGACGAGTGAGCGCATCCAGCCCTGCCTCTGTTTGTTGAAACATCGCAGGGCCTATACCATCAATTCCTGGAGCCTTGTTTTTTACCAATTCCTTCCTTCAGTACCCTCAGTTCTTGATCATATGCTATCTCCTGAAATGCTTGAATGTCGATCAATTTTTTTTTTTTTTTTTTTTTTTGGTACACCATCATCCTTTGATACTTCCTGAATTGTTCAATATTTTGCCCATAGAATCCTTCAATATCACAACTCGAGGCCTGAATTTTTTTTTTTTTTTATCAATTCTTTCAGCTTGAGATACACTAAGTGTGTGTTTCTCTTTTAGTTTTCTTTTAATTTCTTAGCCCTAAGACATTTTTTCCCTTGCTAAGAATTTTATAGAACTAGTTTCCTAGTAAACATTAGAGTATAGGTTTGTACTTGTGATGTTAGTAATACACTTTCCATAAAATAAATTATTTTTAATAAAGTGAATAAAGACAACTTTAAGTTGAAGTCTGAAGTGTGGCAAATGTGGTCTCTGTTAAGACCATAGTTTAGAAATTTAAGTGTGTTTGTTGAACATTGGCTGTTTTATTTTACACCAGATATTTTCTGTTTTAGGTCCAGGTGTCAACGCTTTTTTTCAGAATTCAGATCTGCAGAAGACTGTGATGATTCCTGGTTATAGCAGCTTCCTGATCTTAAAGATTGTAAATACAAAGAATGCTTTTGCCATTGCGACTATGCCTGAAAGGGCACCCGTCAATAGGATCTTTCCAAGAGACTCCTGGTTCTTATATAACTTTGGCATAACTACTGGACGAATATGGAGTATATTTTCAAAAAAGTGTAGTTACTGGATTCAACGAAATGATGATGAGTCACTATCCCTCAATTCTCTGAGATACTCTGATCTTGGGAAATATTATTCTTTCAATGTTAAGATTATACCTACTATGAGAGGTAAGTTTGCTTTTATTGGGAAGCATCAAAAGGAAGTGCTATTGCTTTTCTTGACCATGAAATATGCTCTTTGATAGTACCTTTACGTTTGGTTTGCATAGTAGTCTACTAGTAATGGCGTTAGCTTCTAATTATTGACGACTTACTATGTGGCAGGCTCTGTATGTTTTTTTTATACATTATTTTATTTAATGCTTATAACGACCATAAAAAACAAAAAGAAAACCCAAACTCACAGCTGTCGAGTCAAATTCAACTCATAAAGACCCCTCCTTTGGTTTCCGAGGCAGTATCACTATGGAAGTAGATTGCCCAACATGCCTTCCAAGTAGTAGCTGGTGGGCTTGAACAGCCAGCCTTCTGGTTAGTAGTCAAATGCCTTGGGCACTATACTACCAGAGCTCCTTACAACCATAAAAAGCTAGACTATTATCCTCATTTTGCATTTCAGATGAGGTTAAGTTATCAGCCCACATTAACAGGATTTTAGTTTCAATTTTGCTTTACTCTGAAAGGAAAGTCTTTGTAACTACTTTGGTATTATTATATTTACTTCAAGTATTTATTTTAAGCCAAAAAAATGTCTTTTAAATAGAATTCTGTGTCCCATTTTCCTGGGTATTTACTTTATCTTATATACAAACTTATTAAAGATTCTGGACAAGTGACACACTGGAAAAAATAATTTTAAAAAATTCTAGTAAATAACTGAGCTAGAAAGAGAAGCAGGAGGAAGGGAAGACAGAAGGGCAGGCAGGAGAGGAAATGAAGAAAGCCCTGTCACAGAAGGAAAGACCATCCTCAAAGCCAAAGAAAGTAGCCCATGGGTGGCTTCCTGGAGGATGTGAGGCACAGATATAGGCTGACTTTTACAACCAAGCATGGACAGAAGACATGGCCTGGAGCCTTCCTACTTTGTGGTTGTTGAAACTGAGATTATTAAATAAAGAGAGAAGCATCAACTCATGAAGAGGAGATTAGGAAAATTCTACCCACCAGCCCAAAGAAGAACCCAGGGGAATTGACATCTCCATGAGGCTCAAAG